TTTTTGGACTAACAGCAAGAGGAATGGATTTGGTACAATGCAGTATGTGGATGGGCGAATTTACAGAGGTAATTGGATAAACGATAAATGTACAGGGCGAGGAAATTTGTCTTGGGCTAATGGTGACATGTACGACGGTGATTGGGTAGATGGAAAGAGAACTGGCTCAGGAATGATACGATATGCTGATCGAAGAACGTACGAAGGCAACTGGTTCAATAATAGGCGCTCAGGCAACGGCGTTATGACATGGCCTGAAGGCAATAGATACGAAGGTAGATGGACCGACGGCAAGAAAAATGGATCCGGTAAAATGCAATATGTCGACGGCAGGACATATGTTGGTGGTTGGCTGAATGATACGAAATTTGGTCAGGGTGTTATGACTTGGCCAAACGGAAGAGTTTGTAATGACAGTTGGAGAAACGATAAGGCAGATTGTGAAAGTAAGTTATACGCAATAATTTTTTCGAATAGTTGCAGATAGATTTGCGACGGTGTAGTAGGAATAGTATTGGCAAAATAATAGTTCATGCTGAAAACAGGTCTAAATCCATCTAATTCTTAGTCGAAAGTCTGTAGAGATAGGAGGGCCTAGTGATGATTTATGGTATATTGGTAGCATATATATCGCATAACGTGTCGAAATTTTCAGCATGATTGTTCGATGTTTGCCTTTTGGCCGAGAATTCCAGCTCATATCAGTTTTATCGATCAAACTTCTTCTTGTTTGAGAGAATATGCTTAGATCTACTACCTGTCAGGATCATTCTCTCTAGATCCAGTTTCTCACACGAAAAGTATTTTCGTGACGCTATTAACCTAAAAATCGTATGCAGGTAGAATGATACTTCGGCATCGAGAGATACGTCATTCTTACTCAATTCAACTTTTCCTTACAGAACTATATTGGCAAAGCATCACCGAGCACTGATAAAATATTGATAAATCACTACAAAATTGGGATAGAATTTTTATTCCCGAAGCCGCCGTATTGTTCTCATTGAATAAAATAATCTCTAAGTCTTTTCTAACATTTTGTTTTCCTTCTCGTCATTAGCAACTACTACTACTACTACTACCACGACGACGACAACAACAACAACAACAACAACAACCAGATTCATGTCAACTACAGTAGGTAAGAAGCCTTTTCCGTCTTCTGATCATTTTGAAAATCGAGCCCTAATAAAGCTATGGTCATGAATATTTCCTCAAACAACGCGTACAACATCAAAATGCATTCAAACGTTTGTAATGCGCTGACATATTTATTGCTATAGTGTAAGGCTTATAGTGAATTTAATAATAAGACCAACATGCTCATCGTCATCTGCTAATGTTAATACAAGACTATCTTCAATTGATTGAAAATACTTTCGTTAATGTTGTCAGATACCTTTTGTATGCCTATTAAGTCCATTGACTAGTGTATAGTATCAGAGTAAAATATACATTTGAACTCTATGAAACGCACGACTATATTTTGGACATGCATTAAATGAAAAAGTTTGAAAAATAGAAAGAATTCCACTAATAGCACGTTTTATCTTCACGAACACATAACAAGTTGTGTAATGATATTTTCTTCGATAGGCCGTGTCGCATTCAGCTATTCCGGCTTCTTGACAGCGGGCAGCAATTCATTTAGGCGTCCTCTTGGCGGCGAATCTGATACATATTATTTCAAGGCGCTCAAAGTGATAGCTTCTACTAGTGGCTCTTATACGTTTACCTCCGGTAGTACCACTGACTTGTATGGCTGTTTGTATTCTTCATTCAGTCAATACTCTCCATCCTCAAATTTAATTGAATGCAATGATGATGGTGCTTATGGAGTGAATTTCGAGCTCATTACATATCTGTCGACCTACCAATCCAAGGTTTTAGTTGTAACAACATACTTGCCTTACACAACAGCATCATTCGACGTCAAGGCCGATGGTCCTGGTATAATTACTTGGGAAAATATATGAGGATAGAAAGCTGATCTATTTGAGAATAAAAGTACGCAGCGAGCGAATCACGAGCTGCCAGTGAAACCGATTATAATACTATTTTATCTTTGAGGATGGGCTTTTATTTCAAGTTTTAAGGAATGATTACAGATCATTCCCATATTGATCTCAAAAATTTCTCAATTCATTCATAAAATCTTCGAAACCTTTAATTAATTGTCCTCTTTCGAGAGTCATACGTTTTTTTCGCGCTGATCGAACCATTCAATTTCAATCTATTCCGCACCACCATCGGCACAATTAGGACAACCAATTGTTTCATTTAATTGTCGATAATTTTTCTAATCAACGAG